AAGATGCAGTGGACGATCAAGGAACTTATTGCGCAACGAATTGGAAACAGACATCAAACGAATAACTAGCGATTGAGAACATTACGAAAGCGGAGCTCAGCTGCCTATCCTCCATGAGAGGTAATACGCGCAGGTAAGCAACTGGGATTTGTGCAACTCAACCTAACATGCTCCAAAATACTGATCAAGAGGGGACTTACACAAACCACTACAGTACAATACAATATTACATACATACATACGTGCTTACCTTTAATAAATACGGATAGAACACTGACAAGATATAAGTATCACCAGCCGACAAAATACAACGTTTTGTTGACTTTTTAATTTTATACAACCATATTAAATGTGTATTAATCAAACATATAATCGATGTCACAATACTAAATAATACTAAGCCACCAATACGACTTAGACCACATTCATTCCAACTCGTCAAATCGCGTAATAATTGTTCATAATTTCTACTACTACTACTACTAGTAGTAGTAGTTAATTCCATTTGTGGTGTACTCTGATCGTTTCGTCGTGTTGATGATTGTGCAGTTGCTTGAAATCGATGTTCCGCTGGGATTCGTTGTAATCCATGAAATATACAATGAATATATGAATTTTTATGACAACATAAACATGATTTCCTTGGCTTGACATTCATTTTAACATTGTCTACATGTATTCTAAATAACTTATTATCATTATCCTTTTTCAGATTGATCATTGAATATTTTCTACGCTCATCATCTAGCGTGTATGATGTATGTGATGGGTGGCGTAATCGTACGAAATCATCATGATTGTATAACACGGTTGGCGCGTACACTTGATAACGATTCCGGTATTCACCAATCGCTCGATCACATAACATTAAACTCGCCAGCCATGTTGGAATATACTTTAATATACTTTTTAAATAATTCACTATACGGCAATATGAATTGTAATGATACAAATTAGTAGGGTGATAATGATGATGAGTGGGAGGATGAATTTTCAAATATTGCGATGTAATAATGTTCAAACCAAAGATTAGAATTAACCATAACAAACTAAAAATACAATACCATAATAATAGGGGCCATGTCGCCGGTGTATACATTTGTACAATCGATTGATATCGCATAAGAATCAATATTTTCTGTTGTGACTTATTCGACAATACACCAAGTCGATAAATCCCAACAATACATAAGATAAGACAGAAACTATTCAAAAATAACAAACATGGCACTAAATAATTTTGTAATTCAATGGATACTTTCTCTTGCCATGAATTATGATGCATCATAGTGAATACATTTGTGAACCATGTGGATTTGCCTAGATTACACCATGTATAGATAGAGTGTAAATTTGTGTAGTGATGTAGTGGTGTTGTGTCATTTGCCCGATGTAACATGATAACTTGGGAATAATTCGATATAATATATTGATAATTGATTAAATCGTGTAAATTTAAACAATGATGCATTGTAGTCCAAAATAATGTTAAATTTCTACTGAGTAATTCATTTAATTTGTAATCGGAGTAATTTTTTGCACGATACGTTTCATTTAATAATTGTTTTGCTTGATAAATGACATCTAAATTTAAATAATTCATAATTTTAATTGTTTTCGATTATTTTATCATTTATCGAAAAAGTAATTTAAAAATTTTATTTCTGATTATTAAAAGAAAAGATTTCTAATGTCTATTTTGATTGGTTAATTAATTTTTAAACAGACTATTATCCAATCTAATTACAAGTAGGATAAATTAACCAATCAAAAAACAGAGATTAGATTCAGTATTTCACAGAACAAAGCAGAACAGATCAGAACAGAACATGACAAGAAGAACTCATTATTGTTCATTTGTAGTGTTTGCGTGTGTGTGTGTGCGTATATTTGGAACCTACAGGGTTTGTCTCTGCCTGTCGACGATTTAATCAGTTCCTTGTTCTGGAGTTATCGTTCACAAACTTCTTCCGACTTTGTGAACTATTCGTTTGTATCTTGGTGGCTTCTATTGGAGTATGTGTGTGCTTACTATGAATACATAGTCATGGCTTATTACATGGAGTTGGCTCTCTGACGTTCTTCAATTTGTTTGGCTTGGCTTTAACGCCTCGTATTCTAATGTCTGTCTGGATGAACGATTGTCCGGTGTAAATTCATCTAACAGATTCCTTGTTTAGCTTCTTAATACCTCTGGAGCACAAACGGGGTTCGCAAAAGTATGATATATTTCATGGCATTTTCGACTGTTCGTTCAAGCTGGATCGCAGGTCCCTAAACTAGTGAGCCCTACTTCTAGTTCCACACTGTCATCAAAGTGATGAGCCTGATGATCAACAAAAGGCAGCCTAATAAAAATGGTGAGCCTTATTTCGAGTTCAACGCAGCTACGAAAAACTCAAATGCAATAGTGATAATGTTACAGGGACTAAAGATTTCATTGACATGAATATGTCCTATAACTAACTTGACTGTTTTGACCAAAAAGTTAGTACAATCAAAAGTTGATAAGTGTCTCTTTCATGTTGTCGATAACTGTGTGAACGAATTCCCTTGTATCAGTTACATATACGTAGAATAGAAAGAACGGATTACGTCTGACTCAAAGTCTAAGGTCCAAAAACACGCAGGACATTCAACAGCACAATCTCCGGACATTTACTAGATACAAAACACCAGGTTAATACACCGAAGCTCTTCATCGTGCTTCATAAACTTTCAAGTCCCTATCTTGTGAAATTTGTCGAAATCATTTTCGTCATACTGCTGAAATCGAATTTTTCCGCTCAAAACGAAAAGTTTTACATTTTTACTTACCCTGATGACGATATATTTATCCTATTAAATTGATTTACGCCCTCGCTTTGTGAATAGGTGTCTTCGCATCCGCATTAGATCCAACCTGTTTATGTGGGATAATGCTCAGGTACATAAACGTTTCCACATATATCAAGACACCTCCATCAACTGTGATTTGGTTAGTGTCCAGTATGTTGTTTAGGAGGATATCGCCTTGTTCGTTGTGTATGTTGATACCTACTGTTGTAGAGGCTGGTCAGCCTTATCTTCATTCGTTGATATGTGTTGGAGAGAAGAGCTATTTGTTCTGCAAACTCCAAACCGTCTGTCCACAATCAAGCTGTCAATTGTGTCCCTTAATCTTCCTGAGATGATGAGGTTTTAATGATTCAATCATCCATCCGAAGTACAAGAAGGAGAGACATGACTATGTAATCTTTTTTTGTCACCATTGTTCAGTTCAAATGAATTAATGAGCTGTCATCCATGTATAAGAATTTCATATAATGTTGACTGTCTTCTCCGATGCGCCGTAATTTCGGAGAAGATTTCATTAAGATTCTACCATCCAAACTGTCAAATTATTGATTTATTCTTTTGGACATAAGGAATTCGGTACAAAACGGCACTTAAATGTTTATTCGTCGCACAAATCAGTAAACTGATATGTGACCTGGGATTTTTCGGGGATACTTAAACCGAAGCAACTAGTTTTAGTTTAGGGAGCTATTCCTCAGAGTTTCGATCAACAAATCAGTGGCTAAGAGCAGTTTTGCTTACCGTATGCTCTCTTAGGATCACGGTTTTTTCAACTACCTTTGGTTGATCATACGTGCCAATCAACTCGAAGTCGAGCGTTTACTGCATCGGTCACAGCCTATAAAAACACTGATAAGTTGCTTAGTAATGGTAGTAAAATGATACCTCTGTTATTTCTTTCCTCTGATATCTTGATGTTTACAATAGATTGGTAATTATTCTTCTTCTCAAATCTTTCTCAATAGAATATGAAGTATTTTTTAAATTGTTGAGGATGTTAGATCCCTAGAACTCACTTGATGAAAGTCCTAATTTTCGATTTTTGTGTTTTCGACCATGGGCTGCTCATTTGACCCTGAGATTATATTTCCCACCAGGAAAATCCTTGACTGTGATTGGTTGATATGTTATTTTAGTAGGCTATCTTTTTGGCTCGCCCAAGGACGTTTCAATGATGCATAAATAAACACGATTTGTGTGCTTTTGAAACCTCATATTTTCTAGGTTCTTGTAGAATACACTTTCTACGTCTTGTCAAGACTTCTTCCTATACCTACTGGGGTCTTGGGACGCTCGGATTACAGTAGCCCATCAATTATCTTTGCTCTCGTTTACCGACTAAAGGTGAACTAGTAACAACATTCAAGAATATCACCTGACAAGCATAATACAAATAACTTCTATATTTTTAAATCTAATGTTTGAGATTGTATTGAACATATATATATCAAATCAAACCTTGATTTTATGATTTACTTCGTCAATAAGTAGAGTAAGTAGTCATAAACAGAATTTCAAATTTTCCGGTGATTGTAAACAATTGTCAGTCTGTCCACATCAACCTAGACCTTCAGCTATTTATTGTTTTTTAATCAAGGTATTCTATGTTGGGGATGTTAGATCCCAAAATTCGCTTGATAATGCCTTATTTCGGTTTTCACGTTTGCCAGCATGAGCTGACCAGTTGACCTTGAAATTTCAATTCCCACCTGGAAAATCCATGGCTGTGATTGGCTGCTGTGTATTTTAGTGTACTATTTTCTTAACTGTCTCAAGGACGTTTCTATGTTGTATAAATAAACGAGAGTTGTATGCTTGATTGTACTGTGTGATTGCTAGGTGTTTGTAGAATATACTTTCTACGCTTACAAAGCCTTTTTACTTCAGCCCCAGATTCAAGGTAGCCTACCTAGACGCTGGTTCATTGTCTCGTTCACGTTTATCGACTAAGGTAAACTCGTAATAGCCTCTACATTCTATGAGACTTGACGAAAAAAAATGACTACACCTCATGGAGGATCACACAGGCACTAGACATTTTTACAGCTAAAAAAACATTACAATCGACGTGCAAAAATATTTTATTCCAGATGTGATTTCTTAGTAATATTCATCTATGTTTATAAATTAATGTCATCATTGTTTCGTCTAATTTCAAATTGAACCAAAAAATAAACAAATTATCTCTTGTTTAAATGAACCACTCAATTGAAAAGAAATTGAGTTATTTCTACTTCATTGAATTATAATAATATACAACACACCCAAGAAGAAATGTAGAAATAAGGTCATTCCATTTTGAGTTAATGAGTTTTACTAGATTGAAAATAATAAAAATAAAATATCTATTTTTAATCATTTACTTATAAGGTATGCTTTAAATTTCTCATTAATATATTAAAATGGATCACTCACTCACAATTTTTTTGACATATGTGAATAGTCTTTTTATTTAATGGATTGTCTCGATAAGAGGCATTCATCAAAACTCACAATTTGGACATCAGTGTTCACGATTATCTAGTTGTGGCCTGTATGACATTTGTCATTAGTGTATGTTTAGTATGATAAATGACTAAAGTGAACAGTCAGAAGTTCCGATTTTTATGAAATTTACTTGAAGCTATTGTTATCAGGCAGCTGAAACTTGATTTCTATTTTCGAAATCAGATGAATGGAAAACAATTTCCTTGTTATCTTGAATTAATCAATCTTAAATCATCACCATTAGGAAACTTGGAAGCAATGAACAAGCGTTTCTTCCTGATATGAGACTCATCAGAGTTTTAGCGTTTGCGTGCTAGACCATAGGTCCTGGGTTCGAGTCTTATGAGTTGCCCGGCAGTCATGAATACGCACTGCCTCTAATGAGTCCCATTGTGGTGTGAGCTACTTATAAGTAGTATATGACGTGAGTGTCAACGTAATGTCTGGCAGCAGAAGATGGGGGAAGATCAAGAAACGAAGAGTTAGAAGAACACAATGGAATTTGTACGAAACGCATGAATATTGAAATGTCAGACAATGGATTGATGTTTTGCAACAGAAACAGTCCAGTTCGATATGATGATGAACTGATATTTTGCATATTAACGATTTACGATATGGTTTTGCGATTTGACTGAGTAACTCTGTAATTTTCGTCAAAAACAATTCGGTTGCGCCACCTGTGTTCTCGTTCACTACCCCATAACAAAATAAAAAGGGCCATCCAGTGCTCCCAGGATTTGAATGGTGTTCTGTCCTTGATCAATTCATCATTTCAACAAGTAACTCAACAATCTCCACAACCGCATATTACAAATATTTTTTTCCTAACGTCATTAAATTTTGTTCAGTTCTTGCTTTCCTTAGACAGACTACATCATATCTTTTTTTAATTTCAACTGTAATCTTATTTTAACTAACAAAGCTTGTCTCATTTTATACTGACTTGTAATAAAGGTTCGTTGATTACGTAACCCCGTGCTTCTAGCCCTTTAGATACCTTTAAATTAGAATTTTGGAGATTAGTCTTTGTTGTTAGACCACCATGAGAAATCTAGAAGCACTGAACGGCCGTTTCGTCCTGGTACGGGACTCATTAGCAGTGCTCATCCACGACTCCGGAACCTCGCAGGATTGGAACCCAGGATCTTCGGTCTTGCGCATGAACGCTTAACCTCTGGACCACTGGTCCTGCATCCAATCATGTTAATGACTAAGTCTGATCAACCTGCAGGTTTTGCGTGACCTCGCCCATTTGTCTTCGGTAGTTACTACCTA